TGTGAGAAGACTTGCTTATATTTCTAAGCACAATTTAAAACTTAAATTTGACAGTGTCACTGAGCATATTCACTGGACGTTTTGAACTCCAGGAGGACAGAGATGCATATTTATGGAAGATAGAGAATTGCTATTCAGAACTTCTGTATCAGAAGAGAAAATAAATATATGCCATAAAATCTTATAAAGTACTGCTGTCAGTGGAGTCTTGGTTTGAGTGAACTTGTAGTTGCTGAACATCTGCTTTAATTTGCACTTTAATTATTGGATAGTTGTGACAAAAATAGTCAAATTTATAACACACACACATTTTTCTTTGGTCATCTTTTACACTTCACCTTCATCAACCTCAAAGATTCCTGAAGAGTTTTCTGAACCTACTCAGACAGATACAGAAACTAATGCCACAAAATAAACCAGCAATGCTATGTTTCTATTTTCTATAGTAATTTCTATTTTTTAATTCTGTTCATCTTTAGTATTAATGCAGCTAAGAGATGTTCTTGATGAGAATAACTTCATGTTTTCTCTGTTTGTACTATACACATGTTCAGAAAACTACTTCTGTTCTTTCTCTGTCTCCTTTCCCTCACATGTCCTCCTCGCTTTCTTTCTCTTTATAACTTGGATGAAGGTTGTTTCCCAAGAGAAAAGACAAGGATCTCTGACAGGTTGATGCCAGGTGAATTGGGATGCTTTACTAGGTACCAATGTGTTTAGTACTAATAATTTCCTCCTTTTTTGATTACTGATATTTACTTAAAACCTCATCAGTTTTATTCATTCACTCCAGTGGACGCAGTTCATGTCAGCTCTGCAATAGCTGCATGTCTTCAATCTCCAGCCATTAGTCCCTATTTTAAACTTTTTATTTCTTTATTTTCTCTCTTTTTTTGCTAAATTTGGTCTTTCTTGAAAGAGGGAAGAACATTCTGGGAAGCCTCCAGTCAAGTTTATCAAAACCCATCAAGTACTTCACCTTTTAGAAAAACTTGTTTTGAGATGGAGATGACTGTGTCAAATTTTTAGTCCATCAGCAGTAATGGCTTACTTAACCACATGTTGTGGTTCTCACCCCTGTCTCTGTCTTGCACGCTGGGCCAAAATTACTGCTTGCTACCTTTATGTTTTGTTTTTTTTTTAATTTTATTTTGTACTGACTTTCACCTGTTTACTGCTGGGCAAGTAGCGGTAAAAGTTAGGGACTAATGAGTGGGTAATCTGTCTGTTTGGTAGGAAGTTCCAAGAACAGGGGCAGAATAAAGCAGAAATTTTCACATTGTCCCCAAATAAGTTGCTGTTCCATTGTCTTTTGAACTCGACCTCTGAGTTGAGAATTTGGCTGTTGTGTGACCCTGATGTTAGTGGAGCACTGGGGGATTAATGCCTCATGGAGCAGCATGTGGCGTGGAGGCACAGACATGCAGCTAGCTCACACTGTAGAAACATTTCTTCCCCTGCATATACCTGCTTACGTATAGCTGCACAGGGTAGTATAATGGGATATTTTCTCCTTCTAGAATGCTCAAGATATTAAATTTATGAGGTGCCATTACTTAAGATTTCTCCAATTGTTAATAGTCCCCAAGTCCATTCTTCAGCTGGAAGCTTGTGCAATGTCTCTTTGGAAAGCTGTTGTTGGCTTTTCAAGGAGCTGGTTCTATATTGGGGAAAGGTGTGCCCATATCTGAATAGTACGTTTATATCCATGAGGCTTTGTACAAAGAGAAGATAACACTTCTGGGCTGGCTCAGGAAAGTCTGTTTTCATTGTTGATAGCAGGATTGGGGTTTCCTCTCTCCCCCAGTTTAATAGTTCTAGCACGGATCATCTGACTGGAATTGCTTCCCCTCCAGTATAAGACCACTGAGGCTCAGTTTACCTGTCCATCAGCAAGAACTGCTGCCCCACTTTCCACAGTTTCTAACCCCATCCTTTTAGCAATTAATAGCTTATATATTTGCTGTGAGAGAAAAGCAACAGTCCCATGTAACGTAGCGGTTTTTAACTATTTGTCTGCGAGGAATCTAAGGACACAATCACTTCAGCTTAGACTCTTCATGTAACTAATTCTGTTGTTTCTTTTACGTGCTGCAAAACTCATCTTGCTGTCTTCACAAGAAGCCAGAGGAAGCAAGTCAACTGTTTAGCCAGATGTCTCTTTTGATCTGAATCCTGGGTTCTGGACAACCACAGTCTGCAGGAAACACAAAATTCAGAATGAATTTTCAGCACTGAGTATATGCAGAACATACACATATACATGGAATAAAATGTGACTATTTTTGTAATCAGGTCACCATGCATTTCAGATGCAAAATGAGTGACAAACGTCTAGGCAGTGAATGGAATGGGAAAACAAAGCAACAAAGCAGTCTTTTTAGCTACTTAAGTCTGATACCTTACTGTCTGTTACAATTTCCTTTTAAAGGGAATGGAGAGTTTAAGGCTGACTATACACTTTTCACATTTTTCTCAGGAGGAATTGGATTTGCTTTTGTATTTGGTGATGATGGAGTTAGCTTTGTAGATAAAAACAATGAACAACAGAGCTGAAGCCTGAAAACGGCATTTCCAGCTTGAAAAGTACTTGTGCAACAAACAGACCACTATTTCTCCTAAATACAATATATGCTGTGTTCTCAAACTTTTCTTCAAAGGGTATAAGGAAAATGAAGCTTTAATGCTTTTGTGGAAGACTGTTAGAACAGAGTTCTGCTAGTCTGGATTCCTGCCCTGTCTGTCACCTCTGAACTTGGTAAAATGAATCAGTAGGTCACAGTCCTGCTCTGCAGTCCTGCTGGCAGCATGGTCTCGTGATTCACTAGAGAAAATAAGAATCTGGCAGTGAGTCTGCTCTGTATAAGCTTTCATGATATAATACTTGCTTTATAAAAGGAAATTTAATTGTGATGGAGAAGGGGCAGAGGAAATTGGGGAGAAGAGGTGCAACTTCTCCGATGTGGAATGCCTGCATGGTTCTTTTTCTATGGCATGAGTTTGTTCTGTTAAAGTGGAAAGCCAAATGCAGAGTGCTTTAGACATTAAGTCAACAACTGTAATGCTCTTTGATAAATGAATGGTGAATTAAGTGTGTATAGGAGCAAAGTCAACTTTTTCGTGTTCTGCGAAGCATGATTTAGTAATATCTGCTGGGCTGCACTTCCTGTTGAGGTCACTGTTTGTTTTGGTGTTACTGCCATGGAAACCCATGATAGCAGATTTTATTTTTTTTGCTCTCCTTACATACAGTAAGATCAAGGAAATGCAGTTTTGTTCATAGGTAAATTTTGCCTGCAAGGAGAAGTATGAAAACAAGTGCGGAATTGTTAATAAGCCTGAAGAAGTTCCTCTCACAAGGAAACTGAGTAACTGCTTCCTGTATATGTGTTGTGATGGGAATTTTTTTTGCCCCCAAACCTTCTTAAAGAAGAAATTATATGAATTGTTTTCTGGAACACCAGTCTGAATGCACATCCCTAGTTATTTTGTCCACCATGCCTGGATGTCAGCTTGGCAAAGACAGCAAGACTAAATTAAACTTGTTTTTGACTTTTTGTGACAAAAATATTCCCCAGGTGTTTGACTGTAAAAGATCATGAAATGCCTAAATATCAAGCCAAGAAACTCTTTGAGTGCAGGACTGCATGACTTGTAAGATCAGGGGAAATGTTCTTTGATATGGTGTAATTATAAGTCAAGTATTAAACAGTGATATAGAAAACTAGGTTGCTGGATTATGTCATTAAAGGCACAAAGGTCTATTTCTGCAAGCATTCTTGGAAAAAAACAAGTGTTTTTTCTTCCAAGCAAAAATCAAAAATAAGAGTAATAAGGGCAAATAGCATTTGTGAATGAAATGTTATTGGTAAAAGCTGCTTAAAACCACATTTCTTCTACCTCAAAAAAGTATACTGAACACATCTTGCAAATTAATAGCTTCTTCCTAACAAATACAAGGGGTAGATGTAAATATGTATGCTGTGCTCTATTTAAAAAAAATGTATTTTGCAATCTATTTTAAGTAGATATGCTGTGGTTTATATATGTGTATGGGATGTGTATATGTGTTTTATATAGGGTGTATATGTAAAACAAAATAAAAAAATCCTTGACATATAATTTCTGTTAACATGCAGAGTTGATGAGGTTATTCTAGATGCTGAAGACCTGCAGAAGTGTGGGATTATGCAGATAAAAGCTTGTCACAACTAGAGTCTTAGGCTTGGCCAAATTAATGGGTCAAGTGTCAAGGGAGTGGTAAGGAGGCTTCTGTCATGACAATTCCAGATTGCAGTAAATGTAACTACTTTGGTACTACTGTGTGTGTATTTCCTGTCTCTGATTTCTAAAGTCTGCTTAACGCTTCCTTTGTGCCTTGTTTTCAGTCTGAGGTTGTCTAGCTGCAGGTTCTGAAAGCACTGGCTGAACAAAAGCATGCACTTTTTCTGCATGACTGAAGAACATATCCGTGGATATGTAGATTTTTAGGTCTGTTTCTGAAAACCTAGTATTAGAAGATGCAACTAGGCAAGAGCACTGATGTCAAAACAAAATACACCAAGTATTTGCAAGTGTCTGTGCAGCATTGGGTGATGGATAGTGCAGTACTGGAGGTTTATAGGCAGTGTTATACTGTGTCAGCTGCATTCAAATTTAGCTACCATAATACTGGACTTTGTGAATAAACACCATTTATTTTCTATCCAGCTGAGAGATATCTTTAATAGCTGTTAGTCTTTTGGCAGTAGACTGTGTAGCAGCATCTTAAATATTTGTGTTCTGAGCTTTTTGATACTTAATTGAAGACATGGCAATAAAATAAAATTTTAGCGCTTGTGTACTGTCCTAGGCTGCTGCAGCTCCTTGATTTATTCTTCTGCCTGTCCTGCTCGGATCATCTTTCAAATATTTTTCTTGGACGCAACCACTTTTTCGCATCTTTCTTTCTGTGCAAATGAACTTCCTTACCCAAGCTTCACCATCTCAATTCCATTCAACTTTCCCATAAATTGAAATGCATTTTTAAGAAAAGCTAGGACAGACTTGCCATCAGTTTTAATAGACATGCCAAATAATAACAAATACAGAGTGGTAACTGTTATATAAGATTTGAAGAATATATCTCTTCTGATTTTAAAAGTTTTAAATATTGTAACCTATTTTAATTTCCAATTTGTTGTGCTTCCCCACTAGAGAAGAATTCTGCTGGTACAATGGAATACAGTGATAGGGGGTCAGGTCCCAGCAATAAAGCATGCACAGCACCTGAGATTTCTAGCTCATCTTGTTTCTCACCATCTCTTTTTGCATACTTGGCTTTACCTTCACTTCTTTGCAAGTTCCTAAAGTACTCCAGAATATGCTAGAAATCTGTTTTGCTACGCAGGTGTTTTTCTTAGTCGTGCATTGGAAATGGGAGACAATATGGCTTGATGTGGCCACTCGAACGTTCCCATGGATCAGTAACGTCATCTTCAAAACAAAGGATCCTGGGGGTATATGGTAAATCTAAGAACAGCTTTAGCTTGGAGCACTCAAGGGCACTAGAGGAAGATCTGCAAAAAGGACAGCGAATGGGCTTTAAGTCTATTCTAGGGCTCACTGTTAATTATCACAGTCCACTCATGACAACTTTCTGACTGACTAGCCACAACATTTCAAATTCTGTACAGGTCTCAAATAGTGGAAGGACTTCCGATCTTCTGCAGAGTACTGGGATGGTGTCTACTGTCTGTGGCATGGAGAAAGGTCAATACAGCTCACCTGTCTGGTGGTACAGGAGGCACCATAAGGGAGGAAGGAAAAGCAGCCAAGACCTGAGTTAGCTCTGGTCTTTTGGTGGGATTGCAGAGGTAAAAGAAATCTTGTGGAAGGGAGACCCAGAAATGCCAAGTGGAGCTTCTGCATTTTGTTATGGGTTGTTCTTTTACCTTCTTTTTATTGTTGCACCCTAGGGGCTCCCTTGTAAAGGGGCAGGAAGGCCAGAACAACTGGCTTGTTTAAGGGTTTTATTTGTGCTGGATTTGATGACTCTAAATGGTAACTCTTAAAGACTTACAGTGGAACTCTGTTGGGATACTCTTCATATCGTTTGTGCTGGGCTGTTTAGTGGGAGGGAACAGAAAAGACAGAATTTTACTCTAGTTTCTGTCCAATGACAACATTGAGAGACAGTGGGCAGGAACCCACAATGTGAGAAATTGTGATTAAACATACAGTTTTTCTTTCCAGGGTGTGGTCCAGTGGTGTAATAAGCTGTTCAACTAGCATCCGGACAAGGCCCTGCGCAAATATGATTTTATTGCACTTGCATTTTGTAAACAGTTGGGTAACCTCCAGAGAGCCCTTTCAACTAAAAATCTTTTTTTTTTTTTTCTTTAAAGAAAGTGTAGCCAAGCTTTAAGGACTACTACTCGTCTTATGTTCTAAGTCATCAAAGATTTCTTAGGCATTGTCTTTGTTTTTCCTGGAACTGTCAAAAATAATCTTGAGTTCTGTGACATCACACATTTTTAGCCATTAAAAAGTTAATCATCTGTTCTTCACAACATGTTTTTTTTACTGGCACTGTGAGCTGTGGCACAGTTCATTCTACATAGGAGAAAAGTTGTTAACAAACTTATTCGTATTTTACCATATAAGAGAAACTAACTGACAAAATATAATTTAATTTGTATTAGCTTGCAGGTTAAACTGGCCGCCCACCTCTCTATATACCTAATTTATGTGCGTCCAGGATTTATCTTTTTTAATTGGATCCTATGTGAGGAGATGTTTTGTTGTCTGATGGTCTCTGAAACCTGCTATGTTTACAGGTGTACAAATTCTGAAACTCCAACAAAGTAGGACTTCAACATTTGCTGGTGGGTTTATATTAAAAGGAGGGAGAAAGGCTTTGTTGAATTTTCCTTTTTAGTCATGTTCAACGAACTTAACAATAAACCCTTCTGATAAGCCAGGTTTAAACAATTTCATAGCAACTGCTATGTTTCTTTTACACACCTGACCAAACTATTAGACACTTGAATAGGAACGTTCAGGTTTTTAAGATGACAGTAAGCTTCTACGTATGACTCCTTAATGTAAAGGCAGCCAACTTTTGACACTGGATTCCAATCTGAAGTGAAGTGGAAGTCTTTCACGAATTTTCACTTAGCTGTAGCCCTTGAAATTTTTTAGCCCTTGAGGACTTTTAATCTTGAGAGCAGCATGCAACGGATAATCTCAATAATCTTTATATAGTCTTCTGTACCCAGACTATTTAAATCTGTATTGGGTATGTTAGTATTACCAGATGGTTTTGGATACCATTTGCTGTAAAATGAAAATTAATGGCAGTAGACAGGCAGGAACCTTCTTCTGGCAGTATTTCAGCAGACCATTTCTCCCTTAACTCCATTTAAGGTGAAAATGGATTCCCTCCTCTTCTCAGGCATGCGCCCCGGTTCCCGTGCATGCTCAGCCTGCTCTCCATCTCTGGGTGCTCCAGCACAGAGCTGACCATGTCCTTCAGAAGGCTGGGAGAGTAGGTGTAAGCAGTCACAATGAGGAAGCATACTGCAGCTTTATGCTCTCAGCATTTCCCAAATTACAGCAGAATCAGCTGCTGGAAAAGAAACTTCTGAGGCTGATGCTTCCTCCCTGCTGAAGAATTCCTGTCGCAGGACTGTGGAGGATTGTTTGACACGCACTGACTTCTAGATAGCACACAGCGCTTTGGAGTTTGACTCTATTGTTATTTTATATTTTTATTTTTGGTGATGGGCCACATAGCTTCTCTGTCAAAACAAAGACAGAGGCTGTGCTTGCATCTGGAATCGCATCTAATTTGGCTCTAAATATGCCCCTTAGTTTTGAGCTAAACCTTTTCTATAAGGTGATCAGACATCACATATAGAAAGGTCATCCCCATCTTTTTTGTTTCACAGCAAACTGAAAAATGCATTTCAAAACAATTCACTTGCTAATTCAGTTTGTCTCAAGTTTCTTAAGCGTTTACTTAATGTTGTGCTCTTTTTTACTGGAGAGGGAGTGTGGAATCCTGTATTTCTGAAGAAAGCTGCATGATACTGCTGCGTATAGAGATGCAAGTAGGCTGGCTGGTTGTTGTCTGTTTATTATGGAGAAGGAGTATGTTTTTAGCTTAAAAAAAAAAACTTTAAATGTCAAGAGTCTTGAAAATGATACATTTATAAAATTGCAAAGACGGTTTACATTTTCTTTCTTGCACTTCAGATTCTGTATTGGGAATTCTTTAAATGTTAAGGCTACTTCTTCTCTGTACTATAGTGTTCTATGCACACATGATCCTAGGTTTCTAAGCATTCTAATTGCAACTCTGATAAAATTATCATTATTCTGCTTTTTTCACCTTCCTCTCATATTTAAAAGGAGCAGTGAGACCAAGCATAAAGTAGTAATACCAGTTTGTAGCTGAAGTAACAGCAAGAGAGAATGGGTTCCTGTTGGCTTTGGTTGTGGTTCGGTTAGTTGGTTTGGTTCGGGTTTTTTTTTTTTTTTTTTTCTGGGAGGGGGTTAGGATTTTATTTTTTAGGGCAATGTAAGCACATTTAAAATTCAACAGCTTTTTAGGGAGGACGATTTAAAAAAAAAAATCCAACACCAAACGACTTGATAAAACAACCTGTCCTTTAAAAAAAATAATTGTTTTGCATTGCTTCAGCTTCCTCTTTCTCTCTAGAGAGCATCCTGGCCATCTTTTTGTTTCTCTTCTTGTGTGACTTGAGAAAAGTGCTCAGTTGTTTCCTGATTCACAGTGTGTGTGCATGAGGTACACAGTGTGTATGGTGGGGCTCTGGATTCCAGATAAGACCCCTGTAACCACCTATCTCCAGTGGAAATGAACTTTTCTTAACCCAGTAGCTTTATATATCTGGCTTAGACAAAAATGGAGTTCACAAAAGAGAACTTAACCTTAAAGGTTGTTTATTTTGGACATCTACTGGTCTGGCTTCAGGTTAGCACCTATAGCATGTGACATTCTTCAGCCTTTTAGACTGATAAAGATGTCACCACAATCATACCAAGCTTGTATTGTTTCTTCCAGTAAAGAAAGGAAGAAACAGTTCCATGTCCCTCAGTCCACTATTGTAGTTGCAAGCAGGAGCTTAATAGAAGTCAAAGTATTTCTTCTCCCAAAATAGACCATAGTGTACAGGAAAGTTATGTCATTTCCTCAGGGCTGTCTAATTGACTGTGGAGGCACTGATCTTTCAAATTATAAATGAAATTATTCATGGTAGTATTTGTTGCCAGAACTAAGATTAGTACCATAACTTGTCAGCTCTAGCTCATTTACCATTCGTGGTAAGAACCAAACTTCAGGTAAGCTGTCTTCTTTGGAGTGACCATCACTCCCACTGTCTACCCACAGCTGACTGGGTGTGTTCCTCATGCTGCTGGCATGGCGGATCAGTGTGAGCATGGGTTCCCTTCTGCATGTTAAGCATAAGCCTCCACATTTAACCACGGCCACGGTTCCACATTCCTGCATCTGTCTGGTTTGAGAGCCATGTTCCCCAAAGGTTAAAGAGCTAGAGTGAGGCATTTTAAATTTATTCTGCTAGGTGAACATATAAGTTATGATGTCTTGTGTCTATTTTTCATCTCAAATTTCCAGTGGCTTTTAGTCAGTTAAATATGCTGATGTGTTGATCTATTGTGTGAATACCTGGCCTTTACTCTGCTGGTTTTTATATTTTCTCGTATTTCCTCTGCACTATGATTTGATCATCTGTCCTTTTAATCTTTGCACAGTGAAGCCCTTTGCATATCATTTATGGTCATTGCTTTAGTGAACTACGCTGTTTCTCTTTCTCCTTGGAAAGTAAGCTGGTATTAATCCAGCTGAAACATAATTGTAAAGGGTATGTTAGGCTCTCAATCACTATCAGAGTAGGCTCAAATAGATTTGGGAATATTAGACAAATCACTTAGATGTTTTCTTTATTCCATCAGATGCCCAGGGTAGTACATATAAGTGTGCGATCTGTTAATATGATTGCCTCTATTTTGTCACATCATATACTGCCAATCATTTTGTCCTGACAACTGGATTAAATATCATTTTGACTTGAAGTCTTACGGCCTCACTGGCTGTGGTTTCACACCACAGACCTAAGGAAGGGCTGCTGCTTCCCTTGTGTGAAGTTTGCAGAACAAGCTGGGCTGATGAGACAAGCCACCAGAAAAATACTTGGTTTTGGCTAAGGCTAACCTTCAGCCTCCTAGCTCAACCCTGTGTGAACACTGTCACTTATGTAGGCACAACAGAAAGGTGAGTGGACCCCAGAATAATGTCCTGATGTCAGCTTAGTCAAATGCTTAATCTTTTGCTTTAGTTGTGGACTGCGGATTATAAGGGCAGCAATAAGATCATTGATGCAGCATATTTCTTGAAGCTGATTGTCGTCATCTTGCTCTTTACACAGATGGGCTTGGGCCACGAGCAAGGATTTGGTGCCCCCTGCTTAAAATGCAAGGATAAGTGTGAAGGATTTGAGCTTCATTTCTGGAGGTAAGTGACACCAGATGTCTCTTAAGTGGTGACTCAGCACATAGGCAAATGTTTAACTAACTGCTTTTGTTCTCTCTTTCAATTAAACAATTCAGATGCTTCTAAGCAGCTGTGTCTAGGGTCAGGGTCAGGACTTCTCAGCTGCATTACAATAAAGTGTTTAAGTATGTAATCATTTCTGAACACATCATCTGCTCTGAAGTTAACTAGTACTTCTGAAGCATTTGCTTTAACTTAGTAAGCAGCTGAAATAGGTTTGTATAAACATCTCTATCTCTACAGTGAGTGAGGTGACAGGGAAGAAAGTGTGCTTTATCTCAGTAGTAAAATGCTTTCTTAGCTCCTGACCAAATGCATAAGCTTTGATGGGAGATTTTTAGGTTAAATTATCTTACCCATGTTGTAAAGGCACTGAAACTTCATATATATCTACAAATGACTTAGAGGGAAGAAGTGTCATAATTCAAATAAGTTGGTTAGTACTGGGTCTTGGATGATGCACTGTTCCTAAACCAATAAGAGTTCATGACAGCAGCAGTAAATAGTCTATGCTGTGGTCTGTGCCATTACTTATGCAGAAACTTTGTATTCCATTAAGACCTTTCTTGTTTTACTAAAACAAGTTATATATGTATATATGTGTAAATTAATGTGTCCAGCTAGCTAGCTAGGTTCACTGATTGGGTGTTCTTTAAGAGGTAGCTTGGTCATTCTGATTTTCAAAAAAAAATCCCTCTCAAAAGGAACAGCCTGGAAAGGACATAAAAATAAAGGTTAGTAGCACTGGCACACTTGCAACGAAAATTATTGAATTCCACCAGTGCCATTTAGCTACAGTTGTAATTGCATCTGCAGTAGAGTTTTATTTGGTGGGGTTTTTTTAGGTAGTCTTTAGATCCTAGCCATACTGGCATCAGGTGGAGATAAGCACTAAGAGATTTTACATCTTTGCCCAGCTATTTGACTGCAGCTGAGACACAGTTTAGAAAATAACCAGGCAAACAGACCACAGCAAAAACCTGCTATAAGTTAATGAAGATATAGCTTTTTGGTTATGTATCTGCAATATGTAGCTATAGAAACAACTTACACATAACCACGTGGAACAAGAAGTGGTAATACACTAATAGCTAAACATGATCATCTAATGATAAAAAATAATTCCTTTATGGAAAGACTTCCTCAATATGCTCTCAGTCCCTGAAGGGACTCGTGTAGAGGTATTAGTAAAATAGAACGGAACACAGTCACTGTGTGTAGGTAATTCAATAGAACAGGATTAAAAAATTGCAGGAGTGAATAGTGTTGTTTATTCACGGATGGATGAGGAAGTATGTCACTTCCTTCTCGAGAGAAATCTCTTGGTTCATAGCCATAGTGATGGGGAAATCATAAGTGCAGGAAGAAAAAAATTTTCCAGTTAACTTTTCCTCAATTCTTCCTTTTTGTCCTGTTTTTCTTAGCTCCCATTGTTAGACCTCCTAATTCCTGGCTCATTCTTTAAAAAATAATTTGGCATAAAAAGAAATAAAACATCTAAAGTGATTTATTCACCTAATTAACATGATTATTAAGTTAGAATGTGTCTACTTCTGCATGTGTATCTGGAGGTTTTTGTGTTTTTCTTTTTATACATTTAACTATACTTCTGTGGCTAGGCCTCATTGTTCCAGGTCCTGAACACATAGCTCATCAAAGCACTGTCTCTGCTAGAAAGCAAGAGCTTGTAGACCATAGTGAACTCAAGAGCAAGTAAGAAAAAGACATAAAATCAATGACTCAGTTAATATTTAATAGGATAGAACAGTTAATAAGGTGGCTGGAAGTAGTCTGAGAAGCATCATCTAGATGTCAGATAAACATGGCACATACTTCTGAAATAACAACTGAAAAGTTACCCATTGAGGCAATTCAAGAATGGGTTAAAAAATAGCTATGTCTCTAAAAGAGCTGCTAATGAGGACAGTAAAGGTGTGAATCTGAAGTTTTAAATCAGTTTTGTATAAACAGTTTTCCAAGGAAAAAATATTAATATGCTTTGCATGATACAGAGATTTCAGGAGTCCAACACTTGAGCTGAAGGGCATGGATCCTAAATACCTGCTCACTTAGTCACATTAGCCTTAAACTATGGATCTCCATTTTGAGCAGAAGCAAACTGCAGCACAAGGGGACAGAATATTGTCTTTATACCAAAATCAGTTCAAGTTTAATCACTAACTTCACTATTACTCATCTGTAAAAGATAGCTGTTGAAGTGAAGGTTGCAGTTAGAGAAACCATCCCACGTTGTGGGGAAGAATTACTGTGGTGGGCTGACCCCAGGCAGCAGCCAAGCACCCACACAGCTGCTCACTCCCTCTCCCCACACAGCAGGGCTGAGGAGTGAAAAGGAAGAATAAAAGTGAGACACCTCAGGGGTCAAAATAAAGTCAGTTTAACAGATAAAGGAAGGTGATGGGACTGGGGAGCAGGCAGTGCTGCAAAGGTGGGTACTGATGGCCAGCCACTCTTGAAGCCCTGTCCACTTTGGAAGTCAGAAACCCTGCCTTCGTCATCCTCTACCCCATTTTGTTGTTGAGCATGGGGTTATACAGTATGGAGTATTCCCCTGGCCAGCCTGAGTCAGCTGTGCCCCCTACCAGCTTCTTGCCTACTCTCAGATTACCTGCTGAGGTGGAGGTAGGGTTCAAAAAGAGGAATCCTTGACACTGTGCCAGAAGTGCTCAGCAATAACAAGTGCTATCAACACTGGTTTAGCCACAGATCCAAAGTGCAGCACCATACAGGTGCTATGGAGAAAGCTGCCTCCACAGGAGCCAGAGCCAGTACAGTAAGCCAGGCAGCAGTTCCTGCTGTGGTCTGTTTGGATGACACTGCCCTCTCCTGGGTGGACCTGAGGAGCTGCAGCACATAGTTCTTAGTCTGATATGTGAAAATTCGGGTGTACCTCAAAGAGCTAAGATGTAATTTCTTTTTGTATATCTGTAAAGAAGAGCCTCAGTTCTGCCTTTGAGGAGTCAGATTGCAAAGTGCACGAAAAAAGTCCCAAGTATACATATCTAGTAGTAGGTTTTTACATGGAGTTGGTATGTCATTCTTTATGCTGGGAGCATTTGGAAAGTACCTCTTCTAGGGTAGTAAGTGCTCTTTAAGTCTTGTTCAGATTGTTTAATTCCTTTATAAAGCAAGTGCTTTATAGTTCTTGGCCCAGTCTGTAGGACGGTTATATAGGTGCAGAATTGTTAATTTAGGCTAGTAGGGAAATGGTGATTAAACAAAGCCCTTAGGATAATTTGTTCCTAATTTTTAAAAGCTTCAGCGTTGAGCTAAACATGAATATAGTGAGGGCCATGGTCTACAATGGTAGCTGAGCAGTGAACAATTACCTGCTTCATCTTTGTGCATTAGTAGCTTTTGCTTTTAAAATTGTCCTCAGAATTATATTTCTGTGCAAGTGTGTAGCAGCAGTGAGCAGGATCTTCTCAGTTCAGATGTTAAGACTTCTTTCAGATTGCTAAACTGCTGCCACAATTAGCAGGGCAGGCTGGCTGTAAGAGACTGCTGCTCAGATGTTTGCTCCTTGGGAATATCTTTCCCACTAGAGGGAAGTGTGGGACAGGAGTTGGAAGTTGGTAAAAGCAGGAGGGAAGGTTCTGATTTATCTTGGTCATGTATGTACCAGAATGTGGTAATTGTCTCTAGTGCAGCTTGGCAAGATATTAAAAAGCTTTTGGAGACAAGCATCTTAAGCTTGGGAATGACCATTTTTAGCATCTGGCTTTTCTGCATAAATATGCCCCCTGGAAGGCAGAGAAAACTTTAAATCAGTTGTAACAATTTTCTGATGCCAAGGATGTCGGGCAAGTACTGAGGCACAATTCAAAGCATTTGCAATTACAGTAGCTGCATTAATAGCAAGAAAACCTAACAGGGGGAATCATAGGAAGAGGCTAGTCTTTCTGTGTGGAGAACACAAGCCTTAGCTTAGGACTTAGCAGGTATCTGAGACCTCCTCTGTGCTTGTAGCTGCTGCCTTCCATCACTGCAAAGCCAGTGTAGGAAGAGGCGTGATCCAAGTTATTTTTCTTCTCCATACACCAAAACTTGGAGAAGTAGGAGGATGGTTGATGTTTGGTTTTGGAGTAGGAACTGGAAGTCTTTTTTTTTTTTTTTTTTTTTTCTCCCCCTTCTTTTCTTCCATCTGTCAGTAGAAATCCAGGACACAAGAATTTACCAACCTGGGAAAGAGGATGGAATCTGTTTACCTTCCTTCTTCCTCTTTCTACCCACCCAAGACATGGAAGCAAGGCACAATCTACTAGATCTGTCTTTTAGAGTGATATACAACTTTTAATTCCACAAATTTTGAAGCTCCCTCTCAATCTTCCATGTTTTGAATGGGAAAAGCTTCCAAAATTGCTGAAACTTGACTGGAGGAACATTTCTCTTCTTTGCTGAAGTCCTGAGAGCTGTGAACACATAAACAGGAGTCTCTAATACCTCCTTTAGTAGGGAACTTGTTGAATGTCCTCAAGTGAAGGGAAATTCTTTTCAACAATGCAGATGGAAAGAACAAGAAATTCTCACTACACATGGGTGTTTCGGTGTGTATATATGTCTGTGCATATATAATAGTAACTCATTTTCCTGGCACGTGTGAGGTGTTGTTTTAACACCAAAAATAAAAATTAAGCATCAGTTATTAGAGAGACGTGTGAAGTGCAAGTCTGAGGTAACAGGATGGGTTGCTTCAGTACGATAGCTGTATTGTAGTCAAAGGAATGGTCAGTTGATCTACTCCAAGTAGAAGTAATTGTCCATATACCTTCTGCAGAAAGGACAGTGACTAATGAACAGGACTCTGATGTGGCAACTCACTGGAAGGAGATATGACTAAACTGTAAAAAGCACTATGCAGGAAGAGCTGTGAGTGATTGTCAACTAGCTGTCTCTTAGGATTGGAAAATATTCAAGAAAAGGGATTATAAATCAGGACAGGAAGTATTTTTTGGCTGTTAGCAGTGTACAAACCTCTTGAGGCTGAGGTCCAGGGGCACCTTGGGGAGCAGTGGAAATAGGAAAATCCCCAAGGCTGTTGCTTGGACTTACTGAGGTATGCTGATGTTGGTTGTGACTCAGCATTCTCTGCATTCTTTCTGGATTGTTTTCTAATGCCAGGGCCCCTACGCATGTAATTATCTAATATAGCCCCTGTAACAGCTTCTTGCAGGCCTCATGGTGGCAGAGTCATTCACTTAATCTTAAAAGACCAAGGAGATAAGAATTTGACTGTGTCATTTTCAGTCTAATGTTAATTTAAGTCTGGGGTGGCAGGAGACCTGATGACAAGTTTATGCTTTCACCTCTTTGCAACTGTCTGTTCATCTGTTAATCAGGACAAAAGAAAATCTCTCACAGGCACTGAAGTTGGTGAAAGATGTTAAACCTTCATGGTGGGACTGAGGATGATCAAAGCTATTGATTCAAGGTGCTCTAGTTGAAATAGAAATAGGATCTCAAAGCCACTCTGCATTCTGAGAGAATACTACTAGACAATAGATGTGCAATTTCATGATGTAGCATAAGCAACGAGAAGATACTTTTCAGCACATATGAAGGTCTCGGGAAGAATTGTACCACATCTTGTTGGGAATGGTCCAGTCTCTGCAGACTGTTGATGCTGCTTCACTGTAGCTGGATGCTGTATAGAGTAGGGAGAGCTGTACAAACTGTCATGCTGCTGTGACCACACAGGCAGTACAACAATACAAATTGTTCTTACTGAGTTCTGTTTTGCAAGCAGAGCCATTCTGGACAGCAGGACTGTGCTGTACTTGCATCAGTCAGTGCAGGTTAGTTCAGAATGTTTGTTCACTGACATTATTAGATCATATCCTGTCAAGAAGCAAGACTAGAACTGTTGCTAAAGACTTAGGTTGAAAAAGTGAAGAAAATACTTGGTAAGCTGTTGTTCATATGGACTAAATTGCAACTGGAATTCAAGCATGTGTCCTGGGAGGTGTATAGTTGCATGATGGTCATGACACAGTAATGAACCTGCAAAAAGTAATGTCTAATTCTGTCACCTTTTATTAGATATCAAAGATGACATGACTGAGAGTTGATAATAAGGTATAATCATATTGCACACCTTAAAAGATGAGCAAAGTGAATATAAATTGCTTTATTAGTATATTAAATAGTCTGTATTAGTGAGATAAAAGACTCATAGACTGCTGAACGTCTTGCAAAATTTTATGTTGCAAGTGCTTGAGATGCATAGTACAGTGTTGAGGCTTAATGGGCAATGCTAGCTCATGCTTTAATGTTTTGGTAAGTAGGGAGGTTGCAAAATGCTTAGTTTGTTAGGTATCCACATAAGTATCAGCTTTGAAGTTATGTACCTCTTTCCTGCTGTGGAAATGAGTTGGAAGCCATGCAAGCTGTCAGACAGCTTACATTTCCATTATTATCTTTTGAGTTTTTTTTATGTTCTACAAAGCAGTCTGTTCTGCTTAGTGTTCTTACTTTGCTCATTGTTTTTAGAGTAGGATGGATCTTTTCTATTGCCAAGTTAGCCTTTTTTATTAGGAATGGGCTTCATAACTTAGACTAACATAACTTGTGGTTGCTGTATAATCATGCACCCAGGGCAGCATCCATCACACACTGAAATTATATTAACCCACATCATAAACTCGTGCACGTATGTGGTGTGTATGTTTGGGGCTGGCTTTGCAGCACTTCACATGACTGGGTATATGCAGGTCCTCCTCCTGCTTTCCCTTCCTATCACCTAATGGGCCTGATGTAGTCATGACATGTTCTTATCTTAAACCTGTTAGGTGCCTTAAGATAAGGCATGTATCTTGCCTTCAAGACTGTAGAAAGCAAGATACAGAACAACATTGGAGTTCAATGGGTTTTGGCAAGCAGAGCTGAGAAGCTTTTATAGGTAGTGGTTTTCTGTCACTCTCTATGTGAAGAATAAATAGTTGGGTAAAATGTTACTCATTCCTCTTCAGACTCTGGAGATCCAGATGGTTGATCTGTTTTCTTAAGGTATAATAACACCCAGCGTCACTAATTTGCCCATGCTGTGGCTGACTGCTTTGAACTGGAGCTGTGGGGAAGCCGTTAATAGTGAAGAACTAGCTTGTCTAATCCAAGGCTCTGTTTATTATGTGTGAAATGTTTAATTATGCCTAAGATAATAAATTGCTATCTAGTATCCTATAATCGAAAGAGTTCAAATGTCTTGTATATGAAAGAACACCAGTTATATCTAAGTAAAGCCTTCTACCTTTTAAGGATGTTATCTGTGAAAATTCTCCACACAGCGTGTGCCAGAGATCCTGACTTGGTTTAGAACTGTTGGAAAGGCTTTGTCCGTATAAGCCTTGGATTTTTCTTTCTTCTCTTTTACATGCTGAACTTGGGGAGAACTTGATGGAATTACACTGTATATATGACTGTATGCACTTTTTTCCTTTCTAGGAAATGGTTGTTTCCAACTGATGGCAACCCTGTGATAACCAAATGTCATGCATACAGTGAAATGCATGTGAAGAGAATAGTGTAGTGCATAGAATGTATGAGGAGAACCTGAAAAGCCCAAATAAATGATTGCTAGGGGGAATATACTGATGCATTTAAGTTAACTCATAGGAGACTAAACATAATAAATCTTGTAGTTGGGTGATAATGGACATGTATGAATGGTCAGTACTGAGATGTAACAGAAGGAATGGTATAGCATCGTATTCAAAATGTATTAGTGTGGTTGACTGATATCTATCTGAAGAGAGAATGTAAGTAATACACCTGGAGAAATAAAGAATATCCTCAAGTGTTTGACATACTGTGGAATAACTTGCGTATTTCTTCATCAAAGCACTGAAGACAAGGTTTTGGGTTCCCAGTAGTGTTACCTTGCGTGCAGCTGATGAGATACAACTTCCAGCTGAGACTATAACTTTGTTGCTGTTTCCATAAATTTCAGAAAAATATGCCGCAACTGCAAATGTGGCCAGGAAGAGCATGATGTCCTTACAAGCAATGAGGAAGATCGGAAAGTGGGGAAACTCTTTGAAGATACAAAATACACAACCCTTATTGCAAAGCTGAAGAATGATGGCATTCCCATGTATAAACGCAACGTCATGATACTGACTAATCCAGTGCCAGCCAAGAAGAACGTATCCATCAACACTGTGACTTTTGAGTGGGCTCCTCCTGTTCAGAATCAAACACTTGTAAGTCTAACTCACTTTTTCTTCACATTCAAGGCAGGAGTTGATGGGAGATGGAGAAGCAGAGATGAACAGAAGGATAAATTTACCTCTTGTTAGTCCTCTTTTCTTTCTCCTCAAAATTGAAAATATGGTGCCTCTTTAGGTCTTGCCTCTGTCATCTTGCAGATATGGATGCTTGTCTGTGGAACTTCTTGAGAATGGGAGAAAGAAAGAGATGAGGTGTTTTTTAATAGATAGGATTAAGCATTATCTGCTAAGGCCCTGGAGTCAAATTTCTCTGACTTGCAATTTTTTAGTAAACTTGAAAAGTTTGCACGGATTAAGTGTGGGCTTAAAAGCAAATAATAAATAAATAAATAAAGACTAAACCGAAACCCCACAACAACCCCACAACAATTTATGTCATTGTTTAAAGTTAAGGGGAACACTCAATCTTGCATATAGCTTTTACTGTAAATGGTAAGAACAAGGTCAGTGTTGACATCTGAAAGAGCAACTCACTTCCAGCATGTTTTCAGCTGAGGCAGATGAGATGGTAGATAGCCTTCAGAGTATTTTGCTTCACTTCTCAAACTTTGATTGCTAATTTACTGCAGTATTGCGTGATCCATGCTGGAATCGCATTCTTTCTGACCTGCCTCTCAAAGTATCCATTTTCAGTGAATTAATCAAACCTTTTGCATCTAAACCAATGTTACTTAACATTTAGTTACTGCTTTGATTCTTATGCTTGTCCTTGCTTTATTAAGGCTAGAGCTTTTTCTCTATATTTAGCTAGAATTATCTCTGCAATGGGCTGTGTGCCCGCAGGCAGACTATTTCAGCTTCTACTTTTTAAAGCTTTATTGATGATCAGTAGCTTTAGATGGCTTTGAAGAGACAAGGTGCTGTGTAAATGTTATTTACTCCTAGGAGTAAGAACTCTGTTCTGCATATTATAAATGGTTTAAAGGGAAGCATGTCTCCCACTCTGGGAAGAAGCCAATTAATGAATCTGCTATATTTTATCTCCATCTCCTGTGTTTCGGGAGCTTCATGTTTATGGAAAGAAACTTGTTTTTGACAAATTTGACTGTCGCTAACAACAGTAGAGATTATTTTAGTTGTGCTTTTGCTTAAAAGGATGGGTCTATGGTTGAAGTGGCATCTGATATTTAATTCTTCCTGGTTCAGGCTAGACAGTATATGCAGATGTTACCAAAGGAGAAGCAGCCTGTTGCTGGCTCAGAAGGCGCACAGTACAGGAAGAAGCAGTTGGCTAAGCAGCTGCCTGCTCACGATCAGGATCCTTCAAAATGCCACGAGCTCTCACCCAGTGAAGTTAAGCAGATGGAACAGTTTGTGAAGAAATACAAAAATGAGGCACTTGGCGTAGGAGATGTCAAGCTCCCTGGTGAGGTGGAAACGAGTGCTACGGACAAGAATAGCTTGAACAATGGTGACAGAGGCACCACGGCTGCTGTGGGAGTGATGGAGGACAAGTCCCCAGATCAGAAGGCATCTCAGTATGTAAGTATAAGAATGGAAAGATAAATCAAAAAAGGTATATTACCATCCGAGTGCTCTCTTTGGTCATTTTACCCAATTAAGTTGTTTGTTAACTTGGAATGTTGAAAATCTGGGGAGGGAAAGAAAGAACGGGAACTGGAAAACATTGAATGTCTGCACAGAGCCTTGGCTTCTGACTGTATTTAGTGCATTGCAGCAAATAACTTCTTAGGTGACCTTTTCATTTCTGTTGCAAAAACATGTTAGTTTGGAGTTATAGTACAGCAGGGTGGCTCTTACAGAATAATAATCAACAAACTCGTGTACTCTTACAGAATAATTGCTACGCTTTTCTCCTCTTGAAGAGTTCAGTTTAATTTTAGAAGCCTCTTTCCTCCTCTTTCTTGGAAAAGCACCAAAATTACCCTCTTGAAAAGCTGTTTATAAAATCAAGTGAAACTAAAAAATCATAAAGTAACACCTCTCTCTCCCATGTCAAACAAGCCAAGCAATGTAACAGCTGTTTTTACTAGTCTTCTTTTCATATTCAGACCTTTTTTTGGTCTATTCTTTCTGCGGCATCTGACTTGTGCCTTGCAATAGCTCAACAAAAAATAAGGTATGTGAAATTACCTAGTTTTCACTGATATTTCTAAAACTACAGCCTTAATAAAGTATTTCTAACATAAATTGCTGACTTCTGCTGTGCATGTCTCAGCTACCGATAATGAACACAAAATATGGGTAGGATTACCTTTAATGTTACCTTCATTACATGAAGTAACATTAAATTAGTTCAGTGAAGGCAGACCTTCACTTCAGAGTGGCAAAAGCTCCTGTACTTTGATTTCCAGAAAAGTTGCTCTTGTATGTATGACTGCCAAAAATTATTTGTGTGCTGGTTGCTCAGAGAAAATGAATATACAAGCTCTAGATGGAGATAAGTTTCTTTGTGAGCACAGTTGTAGAATATGGCTTTTAGTGTTACTGGGTGTTGTGATGTGGTTTTTTGGTGTGTTTTTGTTGTTTGTTTTAAACTGACTCAGTATATTATTTCTGGTGTAATTCATATGGAATAGAAAATTAATACTTAAGTTCCAGCTTTGAACATGCCTACTTACTTTAGTCATATGCTGTGCCATTTGGTTACCTGTAGTTACTTTCTAAAATTAATTTATTCAGTTATTTTTGCCATTATCCTGTCACGGAGATTCTAAGATACTAAAAAGTTGCTTTATTGTGCTTAAGTTGCTGTCATTTTGTCTTAACTCAGCCTCTTCTGCTGGGTTACCTTAGTTTCACACAAGCAATTCTTCACTTACCTCCTTGAGAAAGATCTACAGGAATAAACATCTAGTCCAAGCCAGTTGGCCAGCAGGGTGCATTAGGTCAAGGGCAGGAAGAACTGTCCTCTTGAGTAATTGTATCAAAAGGTGCTTTGTTATTATATTACACCTATTATCACTTCCACATTTTTCTTGCTTGTGTACCTGAGCATACCTCTTCTGCTGTTTAGGCCAGACATATCTCATCACCATGGTTTAGAAAGTAGTTTAGAAGTGTTTAGTAATGTAAGTGAACATGTGAGTTGCTTATCTGTTGTTAGGTACTGAGTTTACCCTGGGCTAAATAATCAGGATTTAGGTACATTATTTTAAAGTATTTCTTTTGTCTGATTTCTTCAGTGTGAATTAATGCTACCACATATAGCTGAGACCATCTCAAATTCTTTTTTAGTAGTTCCAAATAAACCAATGCAGAGAAGAGCTTTTAAATACCTTGCTGAGTTGCCATTCTTGTCTGTGCTTATCCTTTCTGCATCTCTGCTCTCCACATTTTCTTACATGTCTTTCAGATTGAATCAGAAAGCATGTATTCCTGTAGCTGTGGTAAATAATATGCTGAAAAAGTAATGTTTGTTACAGGAATGGATTGCGGTTCTTTTAAACCTGTTTAGGAGTAAACAACTGCAAAACACACAACCAGAGCTCCAGTGTTAATGTAGATATACCTATGATAACTGCCTCTATGTTTAAGAAAAAAAATCTATTTCACTGTGACTGAAAGCTGACTAGCAGAAAAATTGCATATTCAGCATATTGTCATCTTGTAAAAAAGCAAATATCTGTGCACCTGGGCTGGGAATGTTGCAAATGGTAAGTAAATTAATTGTCTTGCCCCCATCTGGGTCCATACAACTACTAAACCTCCCAAATGATTCCTGTCAGAATATGAGGTGTGAAGTAGAAAGAAGAATCAAAAAGATTTATATACATGTATATATTTACACTTACCCTTTGGTTAGTTCCCCTTTCATTTTGTTCCCCACTGTTCTTCCTCCTCCTTCGATGTCTTTCTATGTATGTTTTGAAATTGCTTATATGAAAGAAGTGTGGGGATCTAATTGGTATGCCTTACAGCAGAGTCACTTTATGTGTATTTGATTTTATATATAGGCATATATGCACACACAAAGTTTAAAAAAATGCACATTTGTAGCTGGGCTTGTAGTGATCTGAATCATAGAGAAAACCTTCCCAGGATGTTCAGCTGAGTCCACAGACCAACTGGACTGCAGGAAATGCCAAACTGGTGATTAAACTGTAGATAAAAGATTTTTGTTTCAGTAATATAAACAGCCTGTCTTTTTTGACTTGATGACAACACACTCTCTGTAAGCACTGTAAGGTAGAAGACTATGAACTTTTCTGGAACTACTTGTAGTGTAGCTGCATTCATAAACTTTGTAATCCCTTTTCCCTAATCACTGTCCCCATCCTAAGATTATTAATCATACACTATTGGACCACAGCCATGAGTGACTAGTATCCCTAGAACACAGATCTAAACAGAGTCTAAAATATTCATTTTTATTTTTTCTCCCTAGTGATACAATTATGGCTTGATCTTCTCATGACCTATAAGTGCAGCCATTTTCTTGTCCTGTGTTCTAGTTGTAGTCTAGTTGGTTAGCTTTGATGGAGGTTCTTTATTATTCTCCTTACTTTTGAGTATGTAAGATTTATGGAACATAACATAAATTTTAATTGTCTGAGTTTAAGAACTGGATTGCAGTTGCAAGAATGCAAATACATCAAAATACAATAATCTTTTAAGTAGCAGAAATGCTATGTCAGTAGAACGTGCATCACCTTGAACTGCTTAGTTTGTGTGATGCCACACTACTGTCTGATCATGGGAGTAAACTGATGCATTAATTTTGATCTGGGAAGGAGGAATTTATTAAATATGTTGGTAATATGCAATTGTTATAAATGAACCTCTTCAAAGGCTTATTTAACTTGGCAATAATCTCTTTTCAGTCCTGCTATTGCTGCAAACAGAAGATGAAAGAAGGGGACCCAGCTGTCTATGCAGAACGTGCTGGATATGATAAATTGTGGCACCCAGCTTGTTTCGTCTGTTGTACCTGCAGTGAGCTTCTAGTAGATATGATCTATTTCTGGAAGAATGGTAATCTCTACTGTGGAAGACATTATTGTGATAGTGAAAAACCCCGCTGTGCTGGATGTGATGAGGTAGGAAATACCCTGGTCTTTTGTTTTAGCACACAAATTTGCTCCCCTGTGAAGTGAATATTGTTTTTAGTAAAATATTTCAGTGCAAGTTGATGATCTGCTTTCACCAGTTTTAGCTGATTGTAGCTGCCAGGAACTGAGACTGATACGGACACTCCACATTCAGGAAGATCCAGAGTTTGCTTTGCATTTGGTGGGGTTTTTTTGCAGTCTACAAAGACACAGGATCTAGTACATGAGTGCAAATTCTTCTGCGAAGTCCCAGTTAATGCAGTTGTTTCCTCATGAAGGGCACTAGGGGGAGTGCCTTACTAAATTACACCTTGTGCAGCTGCAGAGAGCAACCTGCCTGGTGCCTTTGGCATTTATTGGCTCTTAATGTAACGAAATAGAGGCTTTAGGGAAATGGCCAAACAAGTGAACGCATTTGCTTTTGTTGTTGAAATCCTTTGAAACGTTGAAGTCACCAGGAGTTCCTTGGAAATCACAAAACACACCGAGGCTAGCTTTGTTAAAAGAAATACTATTCAAATGCATATATTAACAATTGTTTGCATCTTCCTCGTAGCTAATATTCAGCAATGAATATACTCAAGCAGAAGGTCAAAACTGGCATCTGAAACACTTCTGCTGTTTTGACTGTGATTGTGTTCTGGCTGGGGAAATCTATGTCATGGTGAATGACAAGCCAGTCTGCAAACCCTGCTACGTGAAGAACCATGCTGCGGTAAGATCCTTACAGATGTTTTGTACTTTGCCTTCCTTCACAGGACCATCTGTGGAGCTTGAAACTCTTACTTTTTCCCAGCGTGGGAGTATCTGAAGAATATAAATTGAATGCAGATTTAGGCTCAAGTCAATCATCTTTCTCTTTTTGAGAAAAACCTTACAAACAGACAAGTATTTTGTCAACTCAGACTTGAAGGAAAGACACTGGAAGGAGGGAAGGCTGTTCTGAAAATGTCTAACTTTGCCAGTGGTGAAGCACTGTGTTGTAACAAGAGCAGTAAAATAGGTGAAGATGAGTAATGCTGTTAATATTTAGTTTGAGTCAACTGTAGTTCATTGTTACCAGTGGGATTCAACTTCAGCTGGTCTGCTAAAAGCCAGTAGTGGCAACTGGAGTCGAGGTACCTTTCTTTCTATTTCTAACCACATGATTTATAAAGGAGAGTGACTGATGGGGCAAAGCTAGAATTCTAGGGAAGGGTGGTAGTTCTTAATTCCTAGTTATGTTAGGAACTCTTATCTGAGGTAATGGTCCATTCAGATCTACCAACTAACTACGTATTAGTTAGGAGTTGAGTCTGATGTGCATCTAGACTGTTTATACAGTTAACATAAGGGAAAACTATCTCTAGCTGGAACTTAATATTCTTTAATTAATCTTCTGAGATAGGTGTGAGGAATTACCTTCTGGAGAGGCTTTTTTCTCTTAAAGCAGTAACTTTCTTGATCTAAATAATGATTTTGACAAGCAGTGCATAAGATGAATTATGTTCAAGACTTTCTGGTAAGCTTGAATGCTTTGGCATTGGCTTGCAGCTGTCAATGGACAGGAAGATTTGTAAATAATCTGCTCAAATGTATGGGTTAATATATGAAGATTTGTGCTGTGTGGCTTCAAGTTTTTATCAGTATTTGTGCACTGGGAAATTCTAACCATTGTAACTGATGGTTCTATGAAGCTGAGCTTAGCCTTGAACTAAATTGTTGCATGCATTTTATTTCGTGTCCTCAGGTGCATTCTGAGCAGAAGTTCTGCTTTTAATATAAAGGAAAATCAAAAGCTGGAGACAATTCAAAGGCTTCTCTTAACACCTGTCTCTTTTCCAAAAACACTGAAGAATTCCAGCTTTTATTTGACTTGTAGAGAGGATGTGTATGCTTCATTTTAGTGTCATTTTGTTTCTAAACAGGTCTGCCAAGGCTGTCATAATGCTATAGATCCAGAAGTTCAGCGTGTGACATACAACAACTTCAACTGGCATGCTACTCAGGAGTGCTTCTTGTGTTCCTGTTGCAGCAAGTGTCTAATTGGCCAGAAGTTCATGCCGGTGGAAGGGATGGTCTTTTGCTCTGTGGAATGTAAGAAAAAGATGATGTCTTAAGAGGAGACATGCACAGAACCAAGCATGGCTGTGTTCCAAAGGCTCTTGCATTTCTACTGTAAAAGATATAATATTGAGGCATTTAAAATTATTGAAAGTATTAAATAGCATTTTCCCAAAGATTTTTTTAAGGATTAAAACTAGTTATGTAATCTTCATTTCTTAGCTGTAATAATACTTTCTGTTTTGTAATATTGCTCCTGAGTCTTATGTCAAATGACTTTGTATCCCAGAAATTTAAGTAGTATTGTCTTATGAACTATATACACTTTAAGGGAGCCCTTCAGCGTGAAGGGTGGTCTTGTTGTATCTTGTCTAATGGAAGAAGAAAATGTGAAAAAGCTCCACTTCTTCTTGCTTTGTATGATAAATGTAACTCTTTTACTTTTTGGTTTCACTAATTTATCGTTTTTATAGTTGCCCTCCTTTCATCAAGCACTTTAGATAAAATGATCAGCTTTACCACCACCTACTTGAGTTTAAAAAAAAAAAGTTGCCTGTAATCATTTGCTGCTTGTTGACACATGGGTTCTTGAGGCATAATGACTGCTCTCAGACTTAGTTTGTAAAGTAACCCTGCACCAGTAGAAAACTATGGTTCATGTTTCTCTTTCTTATAGCTCTTCATGCCTGGAAAAGCTTTCATTTTGTGAGTATTGAAGTTACTTTACAAATGTGTGGTTTGTTTTGGTTTCTTTTATGGTGGGGGGAGAGAAAACAGAAGAGGAGGTCTTGCTGAGACTTAAAAGAACAAAAAAAATAATCCAGCAACATTAGGGGGTTTCACTCTTATGCTTTCAGAATTGGCTTCTGTTTTTTATGAATGTTCTATTCAGAAATGGTGCCTTCTGTCAGAGGAATGCGGCACAAAATACTGTGTGCATTTCCAAGAATGTAATTCTGTAAAAGAATCACACTTGGGCTTTTGATTTGTAAGTTCTTAGCCAAAGCACAAAAGTCTTGCCCAGGAGACTTCCAGCATTTGAGTGGAAAAAATAAAAATCACAACTATGTATTAGCTTTGCTTACTAGATAACCAAATGTGTGGTTCTTTCTTTTTCTTAAGAATTATAGATCTACAGTGAAACTTGTTAGCTATCTTTGTGCCAGATAGTGAATGGAGAGTCTTTTGGCCTAGAAAGAAAAAACCTATGCAAGTCCTCTTTTCAGTGATGTTTTATGGTGGCTGTACTGTAACACTACCAAATAAAAATCAGTGTTGTTCACTTGAGTTGTCAATAAATTCTGTTCTTGTTGAATCTCATCTAGGGGAGGCAAAAGAGAAGGGGAAATGTTTCCATACTTACAATTAGCTTTGATGTTACACTCATACAGACTTTTGTTTTTTTTAAATAGAGTGCTGACTGTATTGTGTAATATCGTTGATGCGCTTATTAGGTGCAAAACAGTCATCTTATTCCAACAAATACACAACTTCAGAACTTGGTGTGAATTTACTTTTTGTTCACAAACTATTTAAGATACACCATGAGAAGTTTTGAATTTGCACAGCTGAGCTACTGTACAGAGACAAATTTCATTGTGATCCTTTGAGTAATACAGAAGTAAGACTGGTGTGAGATATATACTTCATGTCATGTAAATTAAGATGTAAATTTTAGGTCTATGTTCTAGAAGCCCATACAGTGTTTTTTGGGGATCCTCAGGATGTATGAAAAAAGCATGTCTTTCAGCTCATACCAATGATTATTCTTGCCAGATTTACAGTTCTAAAACAAGGTAAGGGTCTCAGTAAGAGAAAATATTTCCTTTTTTCCATTTAAGTGGTCCTTAATCTGTAGCAGGACATGCTGTGAGAATGCCATTCAGGCGGTGGAGTGAGATATTGCTTAATGATGATCTGTAAGGATGGCTTAATGTGCCTAGGTGCTGCTTGAGTGCATCTGTCCTCAGCCACTCACTAATGTCCATTGTAGGAGATGCAGCTGATCTTTATAAAGAATTCTTTCTGAAAAGCTGTTGTAGGACTTCCCCTGTCCTTCCCATGCAACAGCAGATTTCTCTTCAATGTGGCTGCTTGCACTTATGGCAGTCTTGCTTTTCATTTTAAATCTCGTTCTGTGCAGTTCTGTTTATCAAAATTGATTACTCTGTAACCTTCATTTAGAAGGATGAACAGATACTACCTCAGAACTTGCTCATTCCATCAAGACAGAATTGCTAAGGAAATTTACATCAAACCAAATATCTCTAATAGCCCATATTCTGGGACTGGCCTTTTCCACATATCTTCTGAAGCATCCTGGCTTGCTATCTTTAGCTAATACTTGAGATTTCCTTTCTGGCTCTCTTCCCCTAGGTATTTCTGCTGTGGGGTAGCTGAAGTTTAATGCATGTTGGTGATTTTTTTTTTTTCTCACATTTTTTGGCTGTTTTATCATGGAGGTCCCTTTGATCTATTTATGTTAGTACACTAAGAATAGAGGATGGAAGCTTTTGCATACTTCAGTAATAAGGTTTTTTTTAACTCAGAGTATGAAATTTGAAGCTCTACCCTTAAGAGTAGAACTGTGTTGGTAAGAAAGCCTTTATAAGCACTTCTCTAACAACATGCTCTTATGTATGGAAATGGTTAACTGGCTGCAAGAAACAGCTTGAAGAGGCACTTACCTAGCTCTGCTTATGCCATCGGCAGAGTGACATTTGATTTTAATTCTTCACATGTTAAGCACTAAATGAAAACAAAGATTCACAGCAGAAGACAAGTTTGTTCTTGTTGCTATCAGCATGTGTGCAAACAAAAAGCCTAAATTAATCCCTGGGATGTAACTTTCTGCCTGTCTTAGCTTTATATTCTGTGTTATGGTTTGTGGCTACTGTGACAACATAAGTTGCTACAGAATCACAGTCGTTTTGGTTGGAAGAGACCTTTAAGATCATCAAGTCCAACCATTAGCACAGCACTGGCAGGTCACCACTAAACCATGTACCTAAGTGCAGCACCTAATACCTCCAAGTTTGGTGACTCAACTGCTTCCCTAGGCAGCCTGTTTCAGTACTTGACAAGCTTTTCTGTGAAGAATTTTTTTTCTAATATCCATCCTGAACTTCCCCTGCCATGACTAGAGCATTTTCAAAGCATCCCTAAAATTATTAGGTTTCTGTCCACTTATGCTTCTAACACTCCTTGAAATTTTAAAACTTGCCTAGTGCCCAAAAACGAGACAAGGTGCAATGCTGTTACACTTATTGGTAAATCCTGCTTCACTTAATCTCTTGATTGAAACCTTGGCTGAAGCATGTAGGTATTTGTCTGTTGGTTGACCACAGAGTTCAGGAGGCCCACTATCCAAGATTGCAACACGGCCTCTTCCATGCCCTGAGAGCAAAGAAGGTCTGTGGCACTCAGCTTGTATAACTCTCACTGCTTTCCCTGGATTCATAGAATGATTTGAGTTGGAAGAGACCCCAAAAGTCTATCTAGTCCAATCCCACTGCAATAAGCAGGGACATCCTCAACTAGATCAGGTTGCTCAGAGGCCCATCCAACCTGATCTTGAACGTTTCCAGGGTTGGGTAATCTGCGACCTCTCTGGGCAACCTCTGCCAGTGTTTCACCATTCTCAGTGTAAAAAATTTTTCCCTTATGTCTCATCTAAATCTATCCTCTTTTAGTTTAAAATTATTACCCCTTGTCCTGGTGCAACAGCCTGTTGCAAAAAGACATTCTCCATCTTTCTTTCAGGCCCCTTTTACATGCATAAAGGCTGCAATAACATCTCCTCAGAGCCTTCTCTTCTCCAGGCTGAACAACCCCAGACCTCTCAGTGTTTCTTCATAGGATAGGTGTTCCCATCCTCTGATCATTTTTGCGGTTCTCCTCTGGACGTGCTCCAGCAGGTCCATGACCACCTTATGCTGAGGACTCCAGAAGTGGACATGGTACTCCAGATGAGGTCTGAGTAGAGTGGCAGAATCGCCTTCCTTGACCTGCAGGACACACTTCTTTTGATGTAGGCCAGGATATAGTTGCCTTCGGGGTTGCAAGTGCACATTGCCAGCTCCTGTCCTACTTTTCATCCACCAAAGGGGTGGATGAACCAGTTTTCAGGAGATTTGAATAGTTATGCACTAGATGGACTTTTGGTAAACTTTTTTTTTTAACTATTTCATATAATATAACTTGTGTACGTCATTCCACATATTAGTATATTAATTGGAGTATTCACAGTCTGAAAGAAGAAAAAGTGTGATGTCATTGTGGTTCTTGTGGTACAAAGGATAAAGCTTGCTTTAATTTTTTTTTTCGTTACTGCTGCAAAAACACATTTATCTTTTTTTTCCTCCAGTCAAAACATCTCTTTTCTCTGGGAAGAGGTAAAATCAAGACCGAGTCAATTCTATATAGGATGGTATTTGGGAGGACAGCTTAGCATACAAACACAGTTAGCTTTGGCTTTTATGAGACTGCTACTACCATTCTGTAGTCAGAATCCACTATTGCCGTTTATTTAAAGGAGAGTTACCCTGCAGGTCTGTAAAGACCAGGCTGGCAAAGGCTTTGCAAAAACTTTAAAAGAACAAAGTCAAATAAATGCATCTTTGAATTAGTAACAGATACATGGTAACAATAACTGGGAACTTTTATTGAATTTACGATTACATCTCAAACTTCTGGTTACACACATTCTAGGAAGAAAAGAAAAGCACTTTAAGCAGCGTTTTATATGTATGTTTTACAGCAACTTTCCCTTCGCCTGCAGAATGCTAGGGTTTGAGTGTTACGGGACTCAGCTGATGGTGTGCAGCTCTAGACCACCCATTCCCGGAAGAACTGGTGAGATGGCAGGATGATAATGCTCAGCTCAGCAGCCTTTGCCAAGTTTAGCATGGATTTGGGATGCTAGAGCTAGCGATGGGTGGCAAAGCGGAGGCTGGCTGTCCAGGATAAGGTCAACAATTCAATCAGAAGCAGGTTTACCAAGGGAATAGGGTTACAATAGCTGTCCTGTAAGAACAGGATGAAGTGAGTCAGTATGAAGATGGAGAAGTTCAAGGGCAAGGACTTGCTCCAGAAATTTGAGAATTCCTGGATGGTGTCCTCAGGTCCTAGGAGCGCTGTCCCACCACAGCAGAGCCCAATACCTTGTGGCATCTCAGTGGAAAGCCATCATAAAAATCACCACAAGAGAAGTCCACTGGGT